TCAACTTCTAAAGACTGCCAATGGAAGCAGCAGCAGGAGTGTTTAGACTACTGTGCAAATATTTCTAAAATAAAATTGTACCCAGATCGGCGATCTCCTTCAATCCCCAGGTAAACCATCCACCTTCATCTTATTCCACTGTCCTGGTGATCATCCGTGGTGCCTTGCATCACATGGTACCAAACTCTCAATGTCCATACAACACTTATCACTATATGCTATTGACGTAAGATGACCAGCGTCATGACTGTACCCAGCCAATCACCCACATGTTGAACTAACTCAGCCATCCCAAGGTAACTTGGTCATTAATAATCTTCGATGCACATGTCTAAAACTGCAGTAACTTCGAGTGATTTAGTTCACTCTCCAGTTGAAATGCGTAGGTGACTGGGAAACCCTTTTGGTGCGGAGTTCTTGCCCCGCAAACTATCAGCGTAATCATGGTAAACGAATCGAACAGGTCGATTCTTCCTACAATCGCTCACTTGCGGGACCCACCTAAACCACTCTAACTGTATCTGCATTTTAGTCTTNTGCTATTTTAGTCTTTCCCTAAAGGAGCTTAACTTTTTTTTATCCCTTTTTTGCGTCGGAACTTTTCGCATCTGGAACTTTTTCACACCAACTTTTGTCTTTCTAGATATTTACCTTAGAATTATCAAGATTCGGGTTAGCGTTTATCCTTCCGAACCGCCATGATGCTCCACCGTTTAGAATTACTCATTGGTTGATTGTCATCTCCTTAAGTGTAAATTTCCTGTTTCACCGGTCGAACCTAGTTTCACAAATTCGGTATCTATCATTATTAGGGAAAGTTTCTTGACTAAGAGGCTTTCTTCTGGTTGTAGAGAGCATTTATGAGTGGTAATATGTGCGGACATGGGTGGCCACATCTAGTTACGTTGCAATTGGATGCTTTTATCCAGTATAACTTGGAAATCTCTGGTAAACTTAAACACATGTTCTGGTTCATAACCCTGCAAGAAGGAAGTATTTGTCTGCTTCAAGTTGACATCCAGTATCACTAACCAAAACGGTTCATGAACTAACTAGGTCTTCGAATTTAGTGTCATTCTGACTAGACTCGCTATCGACAGACCAAGATAAACCATGATGGTAGCCCCTAAGGACTGTCGTATTCTATCTACTGTCGGTTCATAAAAGCGCGTAACACAACACATTGTTTTCCAGGTTGAGAGGACCACGGCAGTTCTTCATACAAGTTCTAACCGCAAGGTTAAGTGGAAGTCGTATCCGCTAGAGAGATGTAATACATAGAGCCTTCTGTCTATCAGACGAAAACCAGGTATTCAGTCTAACTGCGGAAAGAGCGCGTTCCCAATACATTCTCCTCCCCCAAAAAACGGATAAGACACTATTATCCTGCAGAGTTGAAACAGCATCAAATCAAGAGCTCGCATCATTGATTAGGCAAGAAAGTGAGAAAATCGAGGCGTTTCTCATCAAAACAAGAAGACAGATTAAGAGGATGACGTTTCAGATTTGTTTCTACCCCAAACGTGAAACCTTCGATGCGATTACGTGAAATGCATAGAAACAAATATTGAATATTTAACGTAACACACGGGGAACCATAGATGGGTTCAGCTCATAGCTGAAGATAATTTTTCGATACTTTTAGTGATTGGTGATGATTGATGTGCTGTAATTAAAGTTGTTTCACATAAAGCTAACGGCTTCTCATTCTCGAACGAATTTGGTTTTAACCGATGACTCAACTGATTCCAGCTGAAACTCTCGTTTATGGTATTCTCAGGCTTGATGAGGCTTGTCGAAACTGGGCATTGATTCTACCTGAGGGGGACGAAACCAGTAGAAGGCGACCGAGATTTCAAAGGATTTCTGAATAGTGCTGTATGCCTGACAACTGCCGGATCTACTTGGGTAGCGAATCGGTCTCAGATATATATCACGTGACTGAAGAGCCCTAACTGCACTGCATGCAGAACTAAACATATGTGCTGACGACCCATGCTATTCTCGGTGGATCCTCCCTGTAGAGATTGCTACAAGCTCTTAGGCCGACAAATAACAGGTCAACATCAGCGACACGCAACTGAATCTATTTTATGGCGCAATTTTGGGATCAATCACATTGCTGACGTCTCAATAATTCACGATTCTGCTGCGCACCCTTAACCCGAGACCGCTACTGTTTCGTAAAGTGGCTTTAGTCACAGTACTACAGCGGTCTGGACGTTAAAACTGTTAACTCAAGTCATCCCCAGAACAGATGCCAACCGTATTCTTTTCAGATGACCAATGGGAAGTCCAGCTTTCAAGCATTATTACTAATATACTGCCTTTAAATTCATCCTCTCTAAGTTTGTCATTCGTGAATAAAATTTGAAATATTAACACCTCACAACACTACTGAAACTTCAAATATGATCAGTATACACATGACACGTGGGACCATTGGACAAATCTGAACTAATTCTGTCGATAAATTCACTAAGTAACCGGTTGTTTTGACTTGCTAAAGCCTCCCCTTGGTTGTTGGTGTTTTTTTCACGAAATGGAGGATCCAAGCGGAATCCAAACTCCTAACTGTGAATCAATTCTCAATGATACAGTTTTTATCTCAAGGAATCAAGCGTCATGAAGCTGATCAATAATACGTCATAAGTGGCCAGTACTGAAAGGAAACACGAAAACCAATCATATCTGTCTTCAAAGAAGACTCAAATGTCTTCCGGCATGAAACAAGACTGGACAGAGGAATCAAGATAATTCCGTTGAAGCAGTTGGTGGCAACAGTCTGGTATGTCCAGACTAAATGATGCACGAACCGTCAGGCCTGACTATTACACAGTGACGAGTAGAAATGCGCTTTAGGTGAGCGCGTTGAATTTCAGCAGCGAAGCACCATCGCCTTACTCTGATTTTGGTCAGAACTGGCGATGATAATCGCTTCGAATGAACAGTAATAAGAAAGGAACCAAGGTAAACGGATTTCGGAATGCTTTTGAAAACGACGGCCAATATTCAGCAGAACTAATCAGCTGTTATTTTAAACTATTAATAATGTCTTCTAAGTTTTCCGGTCCGACAAAATCTTGGTAGCGTTAATTCAAGTGTAAGTCATCGGTGAATTTGTTACCGTACATTTATTTCAGGGTGTTGCATTCAACATCCAACCCCGGCTGCAATATTCCTCACTAATAGACAGGGAATCTGCTTGGTGTCTAGGTTAAGGGACTGCGTCCGGGCGTTCTGTGTACACGGCAGCTTGGTATGTCCGCAGTGGTCCTAACAGTCGAAATGACCCAACAGCAACCACGATGTGTCTCGCCGACGTGACCCTCCCTCATGGATTCACAAGATATATTTAATGAGCAATTGTGTTTAAGGATAGTCAGGTTCAAATCAAATTATTCATGATGATAACAGATATTTCTGACTCTATTGAAGGGCTACGTGCTCGCGTTTGCAAACAAGAATGTGGGTTGACCGTAGCGAGGTAGAGAAACAAGATATTTACCGAGTCCCGAATAATTTGCTCAGTGTGAGAGCAAAATACATCCTCGTTAAATTATTAATATTTATTATTATGTGGGTAATGCTCCAGCGTGTATACAGAGCACAAAATGAGTGCTTTACCTAAGGACTTGGGGTTGGCATAGTGGAACTGAGTACATCGTGAGGTGCACACGAAGCACTTCTTAAATGTATTGAAGATGCAGCTAGTTTTTGACGACCTCGACTGCATGGAAAACAGAAACAATCGTACGATACGGTTGTATGCTACAAAAGCCGAGGATTACGGAAATACCCGAAGATTAAATAAAACTGGGATTGGCTTCCCCAGGTCATGAGGCGGTGTAAACAGATGATGGGCTCATATAGGACACGTGCTGAATGGTGTCCAATTTAACATAGCAGTATACAGAGAACCAATAAAAGAACTCCGCTGCTTTTTATCATCGAAAATGGTTAGTGATGCGGCTATAAACCATATCCCAAGGGCACCTTGTTTCCAGGTGCTATAGCTCCATTCGCCGGAAAACAGATCAGTCATCTGATGATGATGGTGATGACGACGCTATACTCACTTAGTTTGCTGTGAATCAAGCTATTTTTAAAGCTACGCACTGAAGTCCTTAGATTCGAAGTAGTGCCACTGCTCTATACTTCGTTGCCAGGTAACATGCTGTGCACCTCCCGGTCGCTTCTACGTAGCACACGGCAGACAGCGTAAGTGGCTCATTCGTATCTGGAGTCCCTCATTTCTAAAGCCATCTGCCATACCTCAGCAATGCCAATCTGAAGTTCCCACGAGACCACACCAGTGGTTCGGAGGCACTGATGTTTTCACAGATTCCCTGCGCGTGGATGCCATATTTCTTATTCATAAAACAATATACATCACAGTATCGCAGCGCACAGATAGACTGACGTCACGCTGACGCCAAATGCAGTTTGGTCGCCGGATTCGAAAAGTGATCTCTCATCCAGTCAGTTCATCACTGCTCCTGAACATTCACGAAATCTTTAGAAAGTATGCACGGTCCCTGGACGTATGATACATACTCCAAAAAGCAGTTGAAATCATTCTGATCCTCCTCAGAATGCCTCTTATCGACGCGGTCCACTGAGTCTTAACTTCATCAACAGAAGTGCAAAAACTCTCATCTTAATGTTAGAAAACGTGTAGGAAACCGCACAGACCCTTTGGTACGAGGAACAGTTCATATATCAACCTTCACTAAGAGGAAGCAACACCATTTAGGAGTTTCCGTGTTTCCTGAAAAAGCTTATAAATACAGATGAGCGCTAAAAATCGCAGGAATTCACCGGTGACAGTGTAACCACGGGCCATTGAGTCCTAAACAGAATCTCGCCTTATCCAAACTTGTGTTTACCCTCGTGGCAATACTAGTGGAAGAATTCACGTAGGCAATAGTACTTATATTGCCACCACTAGTAAATGTTTATTCACTTTCCCCATTGTTTGCATGCCATTAGAAAAACTATACAAAAGTTGGGTCAAAGGAAGCCAGACAACTATCAACAGATATCGTATCATGCAGTGGAGGTACATCTGGGACGGGAATCTGAGGAACAGCTGTCGACTTTTCGGACGAATCAACGTCTTCTGAGACACGACGACGCTTAGGATCACTCTCGGCGCAAATTTTTTCACATTTATCTGTGCTGACGATCGTCGTAACCGGGGAAGATGCAGTTCCACTAGTTGTCCCTTTCTCACTGTAAGACAAGTCGCCATCTGGCTGGACTGTAGCCGGTTGAGAAGAAATCTCCGGAATGCACACAACGGCAGACGGTGTATTGTCAGTCAGCATTCTGGCAACTGTTGCAGAATCGGTATTTCGTTGTAGAGTCAAACGGCTTTCGAACTGAGTTGTGGGAAGTAAGATACCGAGCCGTTGCAGACAATTTTGAGCCACATTGCTAAGCTCAGGGTCTGGATGTAATGATAATTCCGTGAGAAAATTAGAGGCAGCGCTGAGTGTGGACACAGACATAGATGCGATCAGCAAATTGGTCAAACACCGGGCAAACGAAATTAGGACCGACGGGTGAAGTAGCGGCAACCGCTGAAAGTCGGAGTAAAAATTACGCCGGAAAGGAGCACCACCCGGGAAATTCGACGTAATATGTCGGCTTAATTGAGACAAGCAAAATTGCAATTTCGCCAATTTATGAGTGACGCTTTCATTGTTTTCCAGAGTTTCTGGATGGACAGACGAGTGATGGTGAGCAAGCCCGAAAGTAGAATTAACAGCAGCATCTGAGAATATGAGTTCTATAAGTTCAAAGCTTGCAGCTAACAGCCGACGCTTGAAGCCTAGTGGGAGAATCTTTCTGTACTGAATATCTTCCAGTAAAACCGACGGATTCCGATCCCCGTCATCTGAAGCGTTGGTAGTTGAGTGAAGATCACCTGCCCATGAAATATCATGGATTAGCTGCGTCAAAATCCGTGGTAACAGACGAATTAGACGATGACTATGAAAACTCCTTACTGAATTTATAGTCTCCTGCAAGCAATGCAAGGATGCCAAACGATGTCGCACAATATCCTCGTTCAACAAAGGCCTATCATTCCAAACAGCGGTCCATTCCAGTTGGTAGGTAAGCACTGTAAGCAAAGACGATGAAGCAGGGACAAGCTTTGCACCAACCAACCGAATGAATGCCGCCAAGCAGTTCAGCAATCGGCTGCTACGTAGCAGCAGATCGCATGTAGTGAGTTTACCACTGATTTGTTCGATGCTGAGTAAGCCATTGAAAAAAGCAACAAAAAGCGGGAGACAGAATTGGCATTCGACGTTTAAATCCGACTCGAAGAGAGATCTCAAACATCCGACGAAAAAATCTACTCTCGCAAATAGCAGCTTCATGTGTTCTGGTGGCGGAATACCGTCCCTAGACACTGGCTTTAGAGAGGTAAACAGTTCCACTTTTGAGTCGAGATAATTGTTAACTGATTGGAGGCTTGGGGAGGATATTCCGTGGAGGTCTAACAACGTTCGAAGGGATTTACAAAGACAACAGAGCACACGCATTTGAAAATCAATAAAACGGTCCGGAATGCGTAGTGGGTTGCCTACCAACGGCAACATAGCAAAACAAGCCGATGCACTACAAAGTAGTTTGTCGTTTACACTAGCAGATGGAGGGAAGTGGTGGTGCACCGAGTTTTGCCGGGGACAGGTCATTTCCTTGCAGTTGATTAAGGATAACAACGTAGATTCCAGTCGTGTTATGTGGCTGCCAAAGTTTTGTGGATGGGTCTTGAGCTGGGTACAAATTTTTTGAAGTCCAGGAACGCTTGGCGCCGATAGAACAGAAAGTATCTCGCGCGTCTGGTCATCTCGCAGAGTGGAAGATTTGGTCGGCATTGAATTGCAACGTGATCTCTGGAAGAGAAACCGGAAATTGTAATAACTTTGCCATTACTGACAAAAAGCATGCACTCAAAATAGATGAAATGGTTCTTCGAGAAGTCACGTATGACGACAGTCGAGGTAAGATAATTTGTTAACTGAGGATAGTAGGTAACTCATGTAACCACCCATCAGCGGGTATCCAATTTGTACTAAATGTGGTTGAACACTGGAGATCCTTGGGTGGCTGGGGTTTGTTCAAACAGCCATGTAACTAGAAAAAAGCATGATTTTTATCGCCCAGTGTGTTTGTTGTTGCTGATATGGATGGGCGTTGGGAACAGCTACTCTAACTCATGTGCACGATAAGAAACCAAATGTAACGTCAGTAATAACGTCCGCAGTACAGCAGAAGTTTAGTGTACTGTACACTTACAATGAACATCACACTCAAGGAAAGTATTGAACGCAAGCTTAACCGAGCAAAAAAGTACAGGACGCTTTGGAGTAATAACTGCATTCTAAATAAGCGAGGTAAACGCCAAATAAATGACCAAAACATACTACTGTTTGGGGTTGATTGAACACATCACAATATCACCACACAGATCGGACCGACTGGGTATCCTATAGATAATGTGCAAATAACTTGATTGGGTTCCACAATAAGATCAGTAACAGTAAATATACTGTATAAATCGTATGAACAGTAACACCAATGGAAGTTCAGTTCACCTCAGTCAGTTTGACAAGAGTGAACCGTATACGTAAGGTCGTTCGCGTCACCGGAGCTTACGACAGGAGTAATGTAGGGTACATGGGACCATATTCTCACGTCACGCGTTGTCCATCTTGTGGTAAATTTTAGACAGAACCTACCTAAGCAAACGTGAACTTTACGCCGACCATCTCAAATCTCTTATATCAACATGTGCAAAATGCCACCAGATCAATGGCAGCATCATCCGATACTCATGACCGGGTTCTCTCTCTCTTCTATCATTGGGCAGCTGCGGCCACGCGTTGTTAACACCTCAACGGAATTCTGGGCCGCTGTTTTGCAAACAAGCAGCAAGTTTATTATTATTTGTATATACTTGCGGAACTTGAAGTATCACGTTCACATCATTCATTTTAAGTGTCCTACTGTTCTATGTAATCATTCCAGTGAATCCAAACTACAGTGAGTAGGTACTAGATTCAACCTTGAACCTTGTTAGAGCTCGTAAGCTATGCATATCCTCGCAAATGCGCAGACATGCAGTGAGCAGAACTGTCATCTGAGCTATGACATCGTGATCGATTCCGTCCGATCTGCATTTCACAGAGTCCGCTGATGGTTTGGCACATTATGAAACCGATAGCAGAGTCCAGCGGTGTAAGAAAAAAATCGTTCAGTTGTAGCACCCCTCCGGTGCCTAGCTGCCATGTCATCCGAAGGAAGCACGAGGGCTGGGATACTGCTAGGTTGCCCCAGCCAAAATAGGAGAAGTCGAGAGGTAAAGGTCATGTTCGAACCACGGACCTTCCGGTCAGTAAAATCGCGATCCAAACACTTCAGCCATCTCGTAAGAGATCGCCTTGTCCAACCCCAGGCGGTAAGCTGAAGACTGACGATTCTTCGCCATACATATGGAAATGTGCTCTCGAGCAACGCTGTAATATCTAAAAAGCTTGATTGACATCACAGGGACACCCCGATTCCGAAATGTTTCATAGTGTTTCTCGCTGGAGAATCGAACATCACCGGGGAGTGGATGGAGCAGGTAATTGTTGCATGTTGGTATCTGGTAGAGCAAAAATTCAGGCGATGTCACCTTTTCCTGCCTGATTTGGTTTAGTTGGTCGATTTCTCGTTGGCAAGGATACTGACAGAAAGTATTACAGATCTTTCAGAAGCTACATCAAACCAATGTATGCCACGATAATAGTAACGAGCACATCTATCACTTCTGTTGTAAAAAGGGGAATTTCAATTACCCTAGTCGGGAAAAAAACTTCGATATTCCAGACTGAACAGAACAAGCCACAGAGTGACGCTATAGGAGTGTGTGCTACTTATAGCTCTGCAGGGATGCCATCACCAAGAGCTTGGCAGTTTTCAGCCGACTGCGGACTTCCATTAGTTCCTCTCATGTAGGACGAAGTAGGGCACTCAACCTGGATGGGGACGCACAAGTATTCGTCAGTTAAAATGCTCGATCCCCACTGACTTCGCGAATAAATTCGACATATACTGTGAGAAGAGTGGACTGTGCAAGTAATCGTATCCCAAAGGCTTGTCGCAGAAGGCTAAACAGCTTCCCGTAGTTGTTAACGTCCGACGCAGTTGTCATATTGGTTCAATGGCGATTTCGGTCGTTTCTGGTAGACAAGCTTGTTTGGTCACGGATTTGCAGTAATTTGGCGCCTTTAAAAAACTTGGCCACTTAGCCTGGCTTGACAAAGGCATGATGAGCTCTGAGACCCAGACCTTCTGAGGACGCGTCTAGTAGCAGCATAAGGAATTGCACCTGCCATAAGCAATCAAACAAGGCAGGACGTAAGTATATTTTGGGGATGGTATTATATGGAAATTATCACTTATCCAGTCAGTTGAAAAGGGTGGTGTTGTACTTCGTAACAGGACACGTCATCAGATGACCTGCTGGGTGCAATCCAATCTCCGTTCAAACGGGAGTACGATCTGCTTCTCCTTGGTCTCCCTTTTTCTTTTTATCAAGGAAGATTTGCCCCCTATTCATGAGGTCGTTCCAGATCCTACTAAGATGTATGAACGAGCTAAACCTGCCACCTTGTTGGACTGGTGGGCTCAAAGCTGAAAATCAGAGAAATGCTGACCGAAAGTCTGAGTGTTCAGACTCCAAAAAGCAACATAAGTAAACCATCAATTTTATCTACAGACTTAACTGCTAGTTATACCACCGAATTTACTTTTGACGCGGTTCAAAAGGTACCAAGATATATTAAAATTTGATTTCGCCCAGGTAGATGACCCACGGAAGATACGGTTGTTACTCCGGAAACTTGTCATAGGTAAACATAATAGATACACAAATTACATACTTCCAAATACTAAGGTGATATCATAGTTGACAACACTATCCAGGCTCTTACTCAAATTCTAGGGAGCAACATGTCGTTGTTCAAAATCTGATACCAACGCCTAAAACTGGTCATGAAGGATGATGATTTCGCCGGTTTTACAACACTTGCCAATCGAGAATACGAGCGTTTTAAGCTCAGCAATATGGACGAAGATCAATTCAAATACCTTATATTTATATCTGGCATCTAGTCCTATCATCGTGCAAACATCCGGAGGGTGTTTTTGCACCAACGTGAACGAAACCCAAAGATAACCTTACAGGAGCTGGGGACCGTATGTCACCGCCTTATCGAACTGAACCAGCACAGTGTGGCTCATACGACATAGCGCAACATGTTTCCATAAATAGTAACAAAGCTTTCTAGTGCAGCTCCCACCTCAAACACAACAAGCCTTCTACATCATGTTGATACTGTGGAGAATGGCATTACATCAGCTTCTGCCAGTTCAGAAAAAACCAATACCGGACGCGCCGCCGTATGGATCACCATCATCATCAGCTATAATAACCGAATGCTTGTCGTACAGTTGCTATGACAATAATTGTCCAGCTGTCACCCCATTTCGATGCCTAGTTGCCATTTCACCCGAACGAAGCGGGCTGGGATTGGCATTACATCAGCTTCTGCCAGTTCAGAAAAAACCAATACCGGACGCGCCGCCGTATGGATCACCATCATCATCAGCTATAATAACCGAATGCTTGTCGTACAGTTGCTATGACAATAATTGTCCAGCTGTCACCCCATTTCGATGCCTAGTTGCCATTTCACCCGAACGAAGCACGAGGGCTGGGATGCTACGAGGTTGTCCGAGTCTGGATAGAAGTTGAGACGCATAGAACGGAGTCGAATCGCGGACTCTTCCGTTAGTAAATTCGCGCTCTAAACACTCAGTAGTCTAGCTTCAGTGGCTGTAGCCGCTACAGTTTCGTTCATCGATTATTTGGAGAGGTGGGGTAGATAGCTGCGCATTAGAGGCAATAAGTGATGCACAAACACATAGGTGTCAGTGGACTTTTAATTGGAGAGATTGGGGGAACTGCGCACTGAAGGCAATAGCTTGAATGCGCGAGCAACATTGAGGATGCCACTGGGCCATGTTTGACAATGTCTCAAACCATTGATGTGTCCCATCTCGGGGTCCCCCATCCAGGGAGACGGAGCGCGATGGTTTTCATACCTCGCTGCCAAGGCATTGGTTGAACACCCCTCGCTGGTTTCCACCTTTCACGTGGTTGCGCGAAGAAGTCAGTTGACTTCCATACGAAGCACGTGGTCAAATCGTAGACTGTGATAGGTTGGTCTATCGTGGGTGAGTTATCTCATCCGAATACCATTCAATGTATTTCACAATTACTGATTCGGTGTTCCCACCAGACTCAGGCACTGTTCTGAAGATATTACTGGCCAAACACCTAAAGACTTTTGACACTCTCGGTGTGCCACCCCCAATATGTGTGGAGCGCAACACACCATTGTAAACTCGACCCTTGACAGATCAGCTGACATTGGACCTACGCCACAGGTGATGCAGGTTAACGAATGTCACTTTGGCCTTCCCAATCCAGATGAAAATATCATCTTTCGCCAGATCAGATTGCCTAAGTGTGAAGGTGTAGACACCTCGGAATGATTGCAGTAAGCTGGCAATAAGTCCTTCCCCGTCCACCTTTATTCTTTTCTTCACAATAAGACATTCAAATAAATCAGGGTTATACGGCAGTGAAGCATCGGCGTTGAACACTGATGTCATGCTGTTGATGATGGCGATGATGATGATGAGACCATCGGGGCTGATTCAGCTAGCCAGGTAGGTAAATTGATCTGCTTCGATCGGCCCATCCGCAAACACGAGATTAGGGTTCGAGCCCATGCAGTTTTGCAGCAGTAGTTTGCACTTGGCA